ATTACAATAAAAATTCCGCCAAAAATACTGATTAAATGAGTGGATATCGTGAAGAATAGAGCCGGAGATGAAATACAATTAATTTGTTGAACGAGTTCTTGGATTGCAATAAAAGTGAGCCGTAATTCTTCCAAATTGTTTGCATTCCTATCCGTTGTTATACTATAAGATGGCATTGAGTCTAACTCTCGGCACAAACGCTGGGCTTTAGCGGCAAATTCTCGGTAATATTCATTAATAATCAGCGATATGTAAATTATGATAGAGTCAAATGCCTTTGAATGTATTGTTCCGATCAATTTAATTATTAAAAACAAATAAATGTTTACATAATTAGGCAATTGTTGCGAAACGCAATCGCTTTCTCCGCACATTTCATTGTTATTATTAGTTATACTTTGAATGAATGAATACAAGAGATATAAATGAAGTGATGCGACGATAATATTGGCAATTATGATGAGCCACGCGATGATTATATACTGTTTCTGTGATTTAAAACTCAGAAATAGTTTATGTCTTGTCGTCAACTCATGGAAAGTGATATAAAAGCGACAAAACCTTTCGCCTTTAAATAACAAAATCAAATCGTTGTCAATGTTTGCAATGAATTCATTGACAAATAGTATAAATGTTATAATTTCTGCGGAACGCGATTCCGTTAAGCGAAGACTTTTTGATTTAATTGTTTCATAATTTAATGCAATTATAAAACTTGTAAAATGACAAACGAAGTGACAGATAATGAATATAATACTTGATATAATGGTTAAGAACTCAAACCTGATCTCACGCCAGGGTATTATCCGGTTTGGTCACTTACGCACTTTTATACATTAGTGGCTTTTATAAAGTGTACTAAATGATAAAAATTAAACTTATTGTAAATATAGCCTTAGTTTGGGTTATTGCCCACAGAAACAATTAAAATAATTTTTGTCGTAAAATTTTTTATTTGAAAAATCATTTTTATTTGAAAGATTCATATCTTTTTGCCTAATTGTAAACAAATGTAAAGAAGAAGCCCTCTATTTATAGTCCCTTCATGTGTGTCATAAAGCCTTTCATTAATTTGTGAATTGAAATCAATAGAATTATCAATACATTAGACATGTATAAAATATTCTGTATATTCCTGTCAAACAAATATCTATTAAATATAAATATAATGAAATTTATTATTTTCTATTAACAAAGTTATTCAAAAAGTCTTAAAGGAATATCACAAATAAATAGGTCAACAAATTTATATTCATTTGCAAATAATTAGTAGAATAGCTATTAATTAGATTTTGTATGTAATCTCAAAAACATTAAAATATATTTAATCATTAAAAGAATTACTTTTATATGTCTTAATAAATCATTTACCGTTTGTAAAGATTTTCTTAATTATTGCCACGAGTGGTAAATCTACAGTACTAGTACCAAATTTATCATATAGTTATTTCTATTTTATTATAACCAAAATAAATTAATATTATTTAAGATTTTAGTGAATATATTTTCTGTTTTATATTTTGTGAGAAATACAACAAAGATGTAAAAACATGTTATTTGAATACTTTTTAAATAACATCTATTTGACATAAAAATACAATAAAATATAATTTAATGAATAATAAAATTGCCTGAACTTTGATATAATATAAAAATGCAAAAACATTTGCAAGTCTGGCGTGAATTGTGGTTAAAAGTACTTTTCTAACACAAATCAATACATAATGCGTTTAGACATTGATTTCTTAAAATAAAAGTATTAATAGAAATGAAATAATGGTTAACATTAAAGCGTCTATTGACTAAAGTTAGTTAACATAACTTATATTGACAGAACATATAAACGCAACGTTAAATATTATAATATAATTTGTTTTTTATTCAGTTATTGTACTTAATTTACTACTATTTATATACTACAAAGTTCCAATGTATTTAAATGTATCATATAAAATGTCGTTTTTTCAGCATTACAGTAGAAGTGGTGTTGAATTAATTAGACATTATTAGACAATAAAAAGCAAAAATATAATAATCAATTAAATATTCAATACTTGAGCGAAACATACAATATAAGCGGCACTTTGTTTAAGAGTTTTAATTGAGATAATGGTTCACTCAAACAACTTGGAAGAGTTGTTTACTGTACGGACAGCATCTTTTAATCGCAATTATAATAATAGGGGAATAATATCCAATCCGATACGACCAGAAGACACACATATCGATGGTTTTAATGTGATATGTATTTTCCATCAGATCGTTGGTCTACCCTATTATGGTATGAAACCATCGTTTAATAAATTCAGAAGTTTTATCGGTATTGCGTACAGTCTTTGCTTCATTGTTATCTTTATCGGTAAAGATTATGATAAAAGTATATAATAATTAAAATTAAAAACTAATAAATTGCTTAAATTCACAGCTTCTTTAATTCCCTGTATTCTGATCTGTGATAAAGGGAATGCTATGCGATATAAGAGCTCCAGAATTAATAGATCCCAATCGGCGTGTATTGTGGAGATAATCCTCATCGGTATCGAAGCCTATCATACGGTTGATAATGATTTGGGTCTCATATACGCGAGACATGAATTTCAACACTTTTACAAACTATTGAAAAGTGTTGTCTTAAAACACGGCATCGTTTTAGACTACAAACACAAACGCAAACTCGTGTTCACGGCTTGGGCTCTAATATTGCTAAACGTATTCAACGCTGTCCTCGAAATCATTCTTCTGTATCCGATTGTCTTCGAAGAGATCACCGAACAGTCAGATCACGACAAGGCGTACATCGATTTGCCCAAACCATTCGCGCTGTACTTCACGCTCACAATCAAAGCCATCGGTTGTATTCATTCCAAAGCGTTGGACACTTTGATCATATATTTCTCTCTACTGCTCACGTATTATATGATAACGTTTGGCCAAATTGTCAAAGAGATGTGCGCTTATCTCGAATACGTTAATTGCAATGCAGACAACACTAAAAGCGGAAACAAACTCAAGTCTTACTACTCTTTCGACGAGTTGAGGCAAAAGTATATAGCGTTACAGAAGATGACAATTTTGGCCAACAATTGTCTGTCGCCATGCATTTTGCTCACTACCGGTTGTAATGTAATCGCCGTAATGGGCGGCATATTCATAGCGATCGACGTGTTTGGCCAAGGTGCTAATCTCGAGGAGGAGGAAGTGTTTGACTTATTTAACGGAGTCATATGCGCCGCTTCTTTGATTGTGTGGTATGTTTACATTTATTATTCAATTATTTAATTACATTTCTATTGTTGTCTATAATTATTGTCATTTTTAGCGGAATATTCGGCGACGATATCATAAAGCAAACACAGGTTGCTTTAAGACAACTCGAAAATATCAACTTCAATACAACTGGGGATAAAGACTATAGAAGTGTATGTTTATGACATTCACATTAATTATTAATAATTATATTTATAATAATAGTTGAGTGCATTTACTAAATCTATATTTTGTTGAAATAACATATATTTAGATAAAAGCGTTAATCGATTCAATTGAAGAAACAAAGGTCTATTCATTGACTGGAACCAGATTTTTCATACTTAATAAAAGATTTTTATATCAGGTTTGCTTTAATTCATTTTTATAATTTTAAATTCTTGCATACTTTTATATTACAATTTATTTATTATGATTAATAGTAAAAGTATTCATTTATTTTACCAAAAATATACATTTATATTGAGATCGATTTTCTAATATCCTTTTGCACCGAACGGTTGCTCTGTATTTAGGGTTAAATAAGTAA